AGGTGTGGGACCCAGCAGAAGGACAGGGCTAGCCCATCTCTGGGGACATGCTTGGCCTTGGCCTAGGCTCCGGGCTCCAAGCCCCCTGCTCCTGCACCCTGAGACAGCTGTGGTGGCCTGCAGGAACAGGTGTCTCAAGGAGAGGATCAGCAGGTACCTGCAGCTCCCAAGTGGTCCTACTGTGGCCTGGGCGGCAGGGCCCTATCTGAGGCCTGTCTGCCACAGTTAGACCTTTCCAAGGCCCCACAGGTGCATGCGAGTAAGTGTATGCACGAGCATGGCACAAATAATGCAAATAAATGTATTTTGCAGTAGGTTAATGACACAAGCCTCTTCCCCCCCCCCCGCCCCCCGGCCCAGCACCTTCGCCTACGTTTTTTTTTTTTTTGAGTCGGAGTATCACTCTGTCACCTGGGCTGGAGTGCAGTGGCAAGTTCATGGCCACTGCAGCCTCAATCTGCTGGGTTTAGGCGATCCTTCCACCCTAGGCTTCCAAGTAACTGGAATTACAGGTATGTACCACCATGCCTGGATACTTTTTTTGATTTATTGTAGCAATGAGGTCTTACCAAGTTGCCCAGGCTGGTCTCAAACCCTTGAGCTCAGACAATCCTCTCGCCTCGGCCTTTCAAAGTACTAGGATTACGGGCTTGAGCCACCGCGCCTGGCCCTGACTGCATTTTTACAAGTGCTTTTTCTCATCTTAACAAATCCTCCAAACAAGAGAGAGAATGTATAAATAAAGTAGAGCAAGGTTTAAATTAAATATTTATATGTTATTTTTTAGCCCATCTCTCCATTAAGCATATTTTAAAAACAGCATTAAAAAAAAAAACTCTCTGGCTTGTCAAGCTGAAATTATTTCTGTATTGAATAGCTTTTTTTTTTTTTTTTTACCTACTGCAATAATGACATAGCGCTTAAGAAGTTAACTTGCTTTAAGGCGTTGTGTGAGCTTTCATTGCACAACATGAGTCATAACTTCAAAACTTGAACTTCGAGAAGGTGAGGGGGGGGGTGTGTTTCAGGAAGAACCTGTTTCTAAGATTCAAGGGTCAAGATGCAGCTGAGACCAGGCTCGGTTACTCAGCCTGTCATTCCAGCGCTTTGGGAGGCCGAGGTGAGCAGATGGCCTGAGCCCATGGGTTCGAGACCCGCCCGGGCAACTTGATGAGACCTCATCTCTACAATCAATCAAAAAATCAGCTGGGCGTGGTAGTGCGCGCCTGTAGTTCTGGCTACTCGGAAGGCCGAGGCGGAAGGATCGCCGGAGCCCGGCGGGTCGAGGCTGCGGTGGCCGGGAGCGGCCACTGCACTCCAGTCTGGGCGACCGAGGGAGACTCCAGCTCAAAAAAAAAAAAAAAAAAAGGATGCAGCTGAAAGTCCCAGTGGCGCCTTGGACAGCTGTGTGGGGCGGGCATTTTCTCTACCTGTTGGAGGCTCTGTCCCTGCACAGCAGAGATAGAGATTTGCAGGAGTGGGGTGGAGGGCACTCGGACAGACACCTGACATGGTCACGTGGTCACGTGGTCACGTGGTCAGTTCTGACTGTGGCCCTGGGTGTGTGGCTGAGCCCTGTCAATCATCTAAAGGGAATGCCTGGGGCATGAAATCACTTTGCCGAGAGAGCCGGCACCTGTCAGTGACTTGTAATCCTGTCCAAACACGAAGGGACCAGGGCTACTAGCACAGAGAAGAGATGACCGGGTACCCTTCCGTAGAGGCAGGGCCCCTTTGCTTAATAATAAAACCATCAGGCCCAGCGTGGTGGTTCACGCCTGCAATCCCAGTATTCTGGGAGGCTGAGGAGGGAGGATTGCTTGAGTCCAGGAGTTCGAGACCAGCCTGGGCAACATAGCAAGACCGCTTCTCTACAAAACATCAAAAAAATGAGCCAGGTGTGGTGCTGTGTGCCTGTAGTCCTCAGGAGGCTGAGGTGGGAGGATCACCTAAGTCCAGGAGGTCGAGGCTGTGGTGAGCTGTGATCATGCCACTGCACTCTAGCCTGGGCAACAGAGGGAGACTCCCCCAACTCAAAAAAAAAAAAAAAAAAAACAACGAAAGCAAAAACACGTGCCAGCTTGGCCGTTTCTGTCCTGGGGACAGATGAGCGTCCCTGGGCGGCAGGGTGGGTGAATGCAGCCCCCATCCTGCAGGCCTGGGTGGAAGGAAGGACCTCTCCCCCCTCCAGCAGCCCCTCCCAGGGGCTCCATCTCTGCTGTGTCCTGTCCTGGCTCCTCCGAGGCCCCAGACCCAGCGTGAGGAGTGAGGGCGGGGATGGGTCAGGGTGCATGAGTCCAGAACGGGTCCTGATGTTAGGGTGCAGCACCCTCCAGGAACTCAGGAAGCCGTGGACACTCCCCGAAGAACCCTAGACACACGCCACTCCGTGTTTTGTGTGATTCTCAGACCAACTGAGACCCATCTAAGGGACCCTCATGAGGGAAAGAGGGGGGAATTGTGGCCCCAGATAAACAAACTCAGGGAAGGATTGTAGCCACGTTGGACCCATCTGGAACCTCTCTGAACAAAGAACAGGACCACAGCTATCGTAATGAGGTAAGACAGCTAGCTTAGTTTAGACATAACTAGTGAGCTTCCCACAGGCAGGCTTAGAGCATTAGGAAACCAGATGGCTGGCATCTGGGCACCGACTTATTGGGACATGACTCCTTTAAACAAGTGTGCACTGATGGAAATCTAGCTTCAGAATATGGGGTGGCTGGCTACAAGGATGGAGGACAGGACAGAAGGAAGTGACCAGGGGCACTGAGGCATGGTGCTCTAAGAGAAAACTTCATTAAACAGCAACTTTTCCTATTATCTCAAAAGTTTTTGGTGATACAAGCAAACTTAGGAGCAAAAAGATAAGAATTGAAACTTGCGATGAAAACTTAGTTTAGAAATAGGTTGTTTAGCTCGGCTTGGTAACTCACGCCTGGAATCTCAGCACTTTGGGAGGCCAAGGCAAGAGGATTGCTTGAGGTCAGGAGTTCGAGACCAGCCTGGGCAACATCGTGAGACCTCATCTCTACGTAATAATGTTTTAAAAAACTTAGCCAGGTGTGGTGGTGTGCACCTGTAATTCCAGCTGCTCAGGAGGCTGAGGCAGGAGTGCCTGAGCCCAAAAGGTCAAGGCTGTGGTGAGCCGTGATCATGCCACTGCACTCCAGCCTGGGTGATGGAGTGAGAATCAACTAAAACAAAAGAAAAGAAAAGAAAAAAGAAACAGGTTGCTTAATCATCAGTTTGGAAAATATTCGAAGCTTTCTGCTAGCAGCAAGCATAAGCCCTTTCCCTCAAGGCCATTCGCATTCTCTTGAACATTTTTTTTCTTCTCTCCAGTAAATTGTACTTTAAAACTCTCCCTGCTTCTTGCTCTGAAATTCCTCTCTGTGGCGTGTTAAGAACCCATGGTGCAACTACATCCCATGCCACCAGGCATTAGTAAGAGGGATCCAGAGACCCAGATAGTAACACTAGAGTTCAGAACCAGCCACAGCTGGAGAAGGTGGAGCCTCTGAAATCCTCCCAGCTGTCCACACAGTGGGTAGGAGAACGGGTCCTGGGTGGGGGCAGTGGGAGAAAGCTGGTACCATCCTCAGCAGACACAAGTCCCTGGGCTCAAGCCACCGTGCTCGCTGAGGGCACCTGTCTGCAAGAAGCAGATGGGAAGGAATTTCTCTGTCTAATCCACACCTGTGTTGGGCTCTGTGTCAGGGCAGCTTTGGATTGGTTGCTCCTGACCAAGGGAATGGCTTTCCCTCCCCTGGCACTCTGTCAGTCACAGCCACCTGCCTTCTTGGACCTTTGCTTGTTTGTTTGTTTGTCTTTTGAGTCAGGGTCTCACTCTGTGGTCCAGGCTGGATTGCGGTGGCACAATCATAGCTCACTGCAGCCTTAACCTCCTGGGCTTCAGTGATCCTCCCTCTTCAGCTTCCCAAGTAGCTGGGACTATAGGCGCCTACCACCACACCTGGCTCATTTTTTAAAAATTTTTTTGTAGAGATGAGGTCTTGCTACATTGTCTAGACTGACTTTGAATGCCTGGGCTCAAGCAGTCCTCTTGTCTCAGCCTCCCAAAGTGCTGAGATTACAAGCGTGAGTCACTGTGCCTGGCAACCTTTGTTTTATTTTTGAGGAGGATTCGCGGGCATACCATCACCCTTGGTTTGACGTGTGAGGCTGTCTTGAGTGACTCTCAAGGAATCCAGGAGAGCAGGTGGGTAGTGTAGATTAGCGGGCAGGGCTGGGACAGGGAGGCCAGGGGCCTCGGACGGGCAACGTGATCTCTGAGCTCAGGAGAAGCTTTGTCTCCTAACAGGCCTTCTCATTCCACCAGCCGCCCGGTCCACAGAGAGGACCGGACAGAGGGGCAGACCCAAGAATGCATTTAGTCTGCCCCAGGTCTGAGTGTCAAAGCTTTGAGATTTACCTTAATGTTGGTGCTTGCTGGCAGGGTGTGGTCATAAACATACCTTTTTTTTCCAGAGACAGAGTCTCACTCTGTCCCCCAAGCTGGAGTTCAGTGGTGCAATCTTAGCTCACTCCAGCCTCCACCTTCTGAGTGCAAGCGATCCTCCTGCCTCGGCCTCTCAGGTAGCTAGTATCACAGGCACGTGCCACCAAACCCAGCTAATTTCTTAATTTTTGTAGACACAGGTCTCGTTATGTTGTCCAGGCTGGCCTCAAACTCCTGGGTCAAGTAATTCTCCTGCCTTGGCTTCCCAAAGAGCTTGAATAACAGGCATGAGCCATCATGCCCAGGCAGTAATATGCTCTTACACATTGCCAAGGGGAGACAGAGGTTTGAAATCTGTGAATATCACAAGCCTAGAGGGGCGATGGCAGAGATAGATTGGGATGTGAGCCTCTTCCTTGTAGCAAGACAGATGTAATTTAGAATTACAACATTTCCTTCCCCTCCAAGCCCTGGGTCCAGCTCCCCTACCCGACACCCCCCACAGATGTGCCAGGAGTCCCAGAGGCCCGGTCCTGGCCTAGGCGGGCCGCACCTTCATCTCCGACACCTTATAGCTGTAGTTGTACCCCTTCCCCGACTTCCAGTTGATGCCGTTGGCAAAGCTCTCGTGGGCCCCCCCGAGGTAGCGGCCATTCAGGTTTGACACATGACATTTTTGGTACCACCAAGCTCCCTGGTACTGCGCAGCACAATTTGTAGAATTCGGGTCATTGTCCTGGTCTTTGGTGGAGAAGAACTGGTTGTTGTGGGACGTCAGGGAATCACCTGTGCAGGACGAAATGGGAGCATGGTCACAGGCAGTGCTCCTCAGTCCTGAAGCCCGAGGCCTGGCCTGGTGGGTTGTCCGCGTCTAGTCGTGCGGGTTGCGCACTGCGCGAGGAGTACAAGACTCCCGTGAACACAGCTCTGCAGCTGACAGTGATCGTAGCAAACTACCTTTGGGTCCAGCCCCTGCCACCGACGGTGTGCTCTCTTTATTTTGTGGACGAGCGGGAGCCAGGAGCTAAGGAGAGTCATGCTCCACCTCCCAGACTCTGCCACGGCAGACCCCTCCCGGCCACTTTCCGCAGAGACATCCGTTTCTGTCCCTGAGCATAGATTCCCCTCTGAAGCGACTTCCTTCCTGCCAGGACATCCATTCTGGGATTTCTGCAGCCATGCTTCCGGTCCCGTCCCGAGACACCCCTACCCCCGCAACACTGTATAGGCCACAGGGGTCAGGGTCGGCTTTCTAGATCAGCGGTCCCCAACCTTTTTGGCTTCAGAGACCGGTTTTGTGGAAGGCAATTTTTCTGGGGATGAGGGGTGAGAGGTTGGTTTTGGGATGATTCAAGTGTCCTACTTTTACTGGATGGACCATCGGACATTAGGTTCTCATAAGGAGATCCCTCACATGCAGAGTTCACCTAGGGTTCGCGTTCCTATGAGAATCTTAATGCCACTGCTGATCTGATAGGAAGCGGTGCTCAGGTGGTCATGAGAGTGATGGAGAGAGGCTGTAAATAAGCATGAAGCTTCACTCACTTGTCTGCCTCTCACCTCTGTTGTGCAGCCTGGCTCCTAACAGGACAAGGACTGGTACAAGGTTTGAGGGGTAAAGCCCCCGTTCAAGATGAAGAAACCAGATTCAGAGAGGTGGGCCCGCAAGCCAAGTTCACCAGGGCAGACAGAGCCAGGCCTCTGAGTAGGCTCTCTCCCCTACCCGGGTCCGCTTGGAAGCCCCGCCCACCCTCACGGCCCCAGGGGACACCCACCTGCAGTGCCCTCCACGAAGGCTCCCAGGACCAGCTTGTACTTCTCCGTCTCGCCCTCCACCTTGAAAGATGCGTACTTGGCAAACTGGTGGTTGCCCTCAAAGTCCACCAGGTCCACACGGAGCTCGTTGGTCCCTGTGGGAGAGAGGGTTCGAGGTCCTGGCAGAAGGGTCCTTCTGGCTTCAGGCCCGGGTGGTGGGACTTTGGGTCCACTTTTATGGGACATCTGAATGTGACATCTCTGGGGAGGTCTCTCCTAGGGCATTTGGAAAACCCTTTGTCACATGAGGGGTTGTGGAGCCCTGGCCCCCTCGGGTCTGTCTTCTGCTCCTAAAACTTCCCTGCTCGTGATGATTGGATGGGACGAAACATTGCTTTATTGCAAAACTTTTGTAAAAAGCATTCTTCCCTGGAATGGGTTGTGAAGTCACCAACACCCAGTAGGAAGCAGCTTCCCATCCTTCTTTTCCCTGGAAAGTCCCCGCAAGCCCAAGGAAATGTCTCGGGAGACAGGAACAGGCTCTCTCGGGGAGGGATGGACACATGCCCCTTTCTCCAGGATCAAGGACAGTCAACACTCTGGGCAGGGGAGGTGGGATAAGATGGGTTGTGTCTGTGGGAGGAGCCTGAGGACCAGGGAGAGCGAGGCTCCCTCTTCCCCTGAGATGGCGGCTTCGGGAGGAGACGGAGGGGAAGTGAGGGCTGGGTGGGCCCGGTCCCTCCAGACCCTGCACCCTCCTGTCTCAGGTTCTGAGATGCCAACAGCACCAAGACCGGAAGGGTCTTCCTCCAGATCCCTGACACCCTGGGGTCCTGGTGCACCAAGAGCCTGTAGCAGGGGACGCATTTGACCCTGCGTGTGCCCTGAGCCTCACCCCTGGGCTGATGTTCCTGACCGCCCAGGTCTAGGGCAAGGTGACTCCATCTGGTCCCACCCCCCAGTCCTGGTGCTAGTCCTACCCTGGGAGGTCAGGGCGTGGATGTGGTCGTTCCCCAGCCAGAACTCGCCCAGCTGGCTGCCAAAGCCCTGCTTGTACGCGGCCCAGTCCCGGTAGAAGTCCACGGAGCCATCGGCCCGTCGCTGGAACACCTGTGGAGGGGCAGGGGACAGAGGCGGGGGACTGGCTGCCATCCCACAGTACAGGGAATCTGGCCTCCCACAGGAGCAGGAACTGTGAATTCACAGAGCGTTGTGGTCAGCCAGTGCCACAGTCATCCACCTGGTCCTGTCCAAGAGCCCACTTGATGGAGGAGGAAATGGAGGCTCAGAGGGCAGGCAGCCAGCCCCAAGCCACACAGCAGGAGAGCAGTGGGCCTCTCCCAGCCTGGCCCCACAGGTCACTTCTTCCATCATTTCTCACCGTGCCCACCCTCAGGGAATGGAAGGATCACTCTAGATGAAAAGGGAAATAGACATTCCCACAGAGTGTTCTCCCACCAGGCAGAAGCCCAGACTCCGGGACACCAGTGTGGCTTCCTCTGCCCAGGGACCCTCAGCCCCACTCACAGTCCACCCCCCTCCGTCCGTGTCCATGTCACAGAGCACGGTCAGGGGCCGGCAGTCAGGCAGGAAGACGGTATACCAGCCGCTCAGGGAGTGCCCCCCGTTGAGAAGGTCCTTACAGGTCTGTGGGCCTGGGCGGGGGTGAAGCAAGGAACAAATACAAGATGGGAGGTCCTGGGCAGGGGCATGGGAGGAGAGGGGAGGCCAAAGGGGAGAGGCGAGGACAGCGGGCATCCGCATGGCAGAGGAGAGCTCTGAGGCCTAGACAGAGATGTGACTCCCAGGGCACCCGGCTCTGATGGCCGAGCCCCTTCCCCCGGTCTCCCATCCCCCGCTACTTTGGTCTCCCAGTACCCGGTCTTTGGAGCACAGGACTTTGGGCGTCATTTCTCACATTTTCTAAGGCCCCTGGCGGGTGACCAGGCACCTCCGACTTGTGTAAGTGGCCAGTGCAGAGAGGGAGGACGGGTGGGCTTGGGGCTGTGAACTGCAGAACATCTGGGTGCTGCTATAGGCCCCTGTTGGGTGCTCCCAGCAAGCTGTGGCAAGGCGGGGCTGCAGTGGACAGGGCAGACTGGCTTGAGGGACCCGGGGCCGCCACCCACCTGAACTGCAATCCTGAAGCTTCCAAGGGTGTCCTGGAAGGAGGGACAGACAGGCAAACACACAGGGTGGGAAGTCAAAAGGCTCGTCCCAGCACAGAGTGGGATGTGTCAGGGCTTGATTTCCTCTCTGGCGTGAAGGTGGTTACTGCCCCCCAGAAAAGCCACTGCCGTCTGTGGCTGCTTGGGTGATGGTGGCCCTTCTGGCCCCCACATTTGCATTGATTGGTGGTGTCCTCCACCACGTGGGGTGGGGGCATGGTACCACGGGACCCCCCAAAGGCCCCGAAGACTCCAGACCCACCTGTCTGTCTTTGTAGACACGGCACGAGGGGGCAGGGCAGGGTGTCTATTTGGCGTCTGGGTAAATGGGTATTTTTTACATGTGGAGTCAACATGTTGAGAGGCTCACTTGAGCCCAGGAGTTTGAGACCAGGCTGGGCAACATAGCAAGACCTCACTGCCACCAAAAATTAAAAATTAGTTGGCTTAGGGCGCAAGCCTGGAGTTTCAGGAGAGTAAACCGTGCCCTTATGTAGCGACACCAAAAGACAGGTCTGAGCAGCTCAGTGGTGAAGGAGGGCCAAGTAACAGGATGCAACCCTGCCGCACATTTCTCTGACTTTTCTGAACAATCAGCAGGAAAATCCATCAGAAGACGTGTTCTATTTTATGCATTATATGTAACCACATATAACATGTACATGCAGGGCAGCTATACATTTTCAATGTATCTGTTTATACTGAGAATGTATACCTTATACATTACGAACCCTTGTGACCTGACCTTGTTACTAATATCCCCTGCCACCTCCGGTCAACCTGGGTTTTTAATTATTGCCCCCAAATTACGACACCACAGTGGGGAGAAGCCATGATGCAAAGACACAGGGTGTCATGCTCAGGGGTCGGGGGTTGCAGGACAGAGAGAGAGGGTGGGGGCATGCAGAGGTGAGAAGATGCCCAGGTTCCTACCACCCGCCAACGCCAGCCACATAGACCTTAGAGGGGCGGAACCTGGTCCCAGACCCACTGAGGGCTCCTCCCCACACTTAGGGACCCTCCCCACACTCATAGCCCCTCCCCCAGACTGAGAGCCCCACCCCTCACACTGAAAGCCCCTCCCAACACACAGCGATCCCCTCCCCTACACCGATAGCCCTTTTCTGGACCCAGCCCTTGGGGTCCCCGCCTGGTGGTAGAATTTGGCTCCAGCAATAACAGAGTGGCGGCCCCAGGAATCCTGCCATATTTCTCTGCTCCAGGTCTGGAAGGTTCTTAAAGCATCTATCCACTCTTACCCTTGGGGCCAGGTGGTCCTGCCTTCCCAGGGGCTCCGGGGGGACCTCGTTCTCCTGACAATTGAAACACACACCCCTGAGTTCCACAATCTGGCCCGGCCCTGAAGGACCCACCCTGGACACGGTTCTGATTTCCAGTCAGATCCCTCCTTCTGCTCAGGTTCGTGAGCATGTCTCTCTGCCCAGGGGTGACTCTCGTGCACCAGAAGGCTCTAGACCAGCATTCCAGGGCTCTGCTGTCCACTCAGGGAACAGGACCCGGGGATGCAGAGCCTTCCCAGAGAACCCTGCGCGGAGTCCCGGCCCTTCCCCTTCCCCTTCCCTGGGTGAGAACCTGGGAAACCGCTGGACCCTAACCCTCAGTTTCCCCATCTGACATAGTCTAGAGGAGAGCTGTGGCCCCAGTTTTCAGGTGAGAAGGTGGAGCCTCCTGGAATCAGACACCTTGCCGATGGCCACATCAAGTGGGGGTCAAGTGCTAGGGAACACCCACAAAAACTCGCCGGAATGGGGCCTCCTAAAAGAGCTGAGAAGGAAGCTCCCCGCCCCTTCCTGGGGATTCCTCACACTCCTCAGCTGCAGGTCCCCATCAGGGACGTTCCCTGGGCCACCTCAGTCCAGAGGCGAAAAGGGAGCTGGGGCTTGCAGGGGCCACACTGGTGGGTCAGACCAGAAACCAGGGTTTCCGCCAAAGCACCCGTGGAAAGCCCGTCAAATACTTCACAGAGAAGCTCCCTCCATTTTCAGAACCCCAGTGGGCCAGGGATGTTGGTCCTGACACTGGCTCTGGGCAAGGGGCCAGACTAAGCTCTTGATCTGGGAAACGCGGTGGGGGGTGCCCAACTCCCACCTCATTTCAGAAGAGCAAGAGCCGGTGGCACCCCACCTCCATCTCCGACCACCCTACCCGGGCCGGCACGCACCTCTCTCTCCGCTGGTGCCTGCGTCTCCCTTGGGCCCTGGGGCCCCGGGCAGCCCTGGGCAGCCTCGGAGAATGGTGAGCTTCTCGGAGCCCTCCAGGCCCACCACCTTCACCTCTGCAGGAAACACAAGTGGCAGTCAGTGTCAGCGACTGGGGTCTGAAGACTCCGCAGAGATGCAGACAAGACACTGACCAAAGGGCACCTGCTTCCTTGGGGACATTGGGCCTGGGCAGGTGGCTGCAGACAGAGCGTTGCAACCACTTCAGCTCAAGGGTAGGCCTGGAAGTGAACTCTTTCCAGCTCGGGTGGGGACTTGGTCTGCCCTTATCCCTGGGGCACTGGTAGGGAGGAGAGAGATGATGAAGCAGAGTCCTGACATTGGAGGCCACCCTGCCTGAGGGGAAACCCTACCTCCTCGGTGCTGTGTGTTCTGGGGTAAGTCACTTGGCCCCTCTGAGCCTCTGTCCTTGGGGCTGCTGGGGGGATAGACTTATTTCAGCTCATGCCAGTTAGGCTAGCATCACAATTTTGGCCGTTATCTATTGTATAATTATAATTATATATATGATATCATTTATTTACAATTACATATATTATACATATATATTTTAAGTCAAGGTCTCATCCTGTCACCAAGGCTGCCTCCTGAATGCAGGTGATCCTTCCGCCTCAGCCTCGCAATTAGCTGGGACTACCGGCATGCGCCACCATGTCCCACTGATTTTTAAAATTTTTTATAAAGACAAGATCTCACTATATTGCCCAAGCTGGTCTCCAACTCCTGGGCTCAAATGATCCTCCTGCCTCGGCCTCCCAAAGTTCTGGGACTACGGCATGAGCCACCACACCAAGCCTCTACTGTGTTATTATAATCAACATCGGGTGAGAAGGAGACAGGGGAAGAGAGGGAAACTTGTGACCTTCACAGCTGACCTTGGGACCAGGTCAAAGAAAGGAGGGGCTGCACTTGGTCCCTCCACAGAGGGGGCCGGCATTCAAGGACACCCAACCAGTTGGTGCAGAACTGGAGCCGGAATACAGGCTTGGTTTTTTTATTAGAGAACCTAATTTAAGAAACAGGAAAGTGGTTTGTGCACTGTTCGATCCCCTAGAAACTCTGGGAGTATTGCAAGAAGAAAATAGCTCCACCCCAGTCCCACGGCTCCGTGACCAGTCATGGGAGGAGTTGGGGAGTTTCTTGTCCGAGTGACTTCCGTCCTGTTCCTGGCATTCCTGATTATTTCCTGTAGGCAACTCCACTTTAAGGGTGATGCCAACCCTGGCACACACCCCAGTGCGACCCAAGGCAGCCTCTCTTTTGAGGTTAGAGCCTGCGTCTCTTGTGCTTACCAGAAATTCCGGCATGGATCTCTGCGGGCCTCGGGAAGAGCACACGTACCTGACCCTCCCTCGCAGCCCCAGGTGGACAGAGCCAGGATCTCAGAGGAGGGGCACAGAGGTTGCATCTTCAGCCCACCCTCCTAGGTATTGGAGCCCATGGCTGGGCACCTGAGTGTCCTCCTGGGAGGCCTGGGGAAGGAGGCTGGGAACTCCGTGGGGATGATGACAGTGGGGAGACAGCCTGTCTCCAGACCTCGCAGACTTTGGACTGAAAGTCTCGCCGTGCTGGGGGCTCCTGCCTGCCCAAAACTTGTCTCCCCATGATGGTGACGATGGCGTAATATCCAACCGGTGCCTACTTGGCCGGTGCCACGAGCCCCACCCCCCACACAGTATCTCAAATGTGCTTTTTACAGACAGGCAAGGGCACGAGGACCACAGAGTTTAGAAATCTGCAACAGGGGCCGGGCCCAGTGGCTCAGCCTGTCATCCCAGCACTTTGGGAGGCAGAGGCGAGAGGATTGCCTGAGTCCGGGGGTTCGAAACCAGCCTGGGCAACTTGGTGAGAATGCGTCTCTACAATAAATTAAAAAATAAGCCAGGCGAGGAAGTGCATGCCAATAGTTCCAGCTACTTAGAAGACTGAGGTGGAAGGATTGCCTAAGCCGACAGGTCAAGGTTGCGGTGGCTGTGAGCATGCCACTGCACTCCAGCCTGGGTGACAGAGTGAGACTCCAACTCAAAAAAAGAAAAAGAAAAGAAGAAAGAAATCTGCAACAGGGCCGGGCACAGTAGCCTGCACTTTGGGAGGCTGAGATGGGAGGCCTGCTTGAGTCCAGGAAGTCGAGGCTGCAGTGAGCTGTGATTGTGCCACTACACTCCAGCCTGAGTGACAGAGTAAGACCCAGGCTCAAAAAATAATAAATACATAAATCCTTTATTGCTAAATTATTGTTATTAAAAGAAAGAAAGAAAGAAAGAAAAAGAAAGAAAGAAAGAAAGAAAGAAAGAAAGAAAGAAAGAAAGAAAGAAAGAAAGAAAGAAAGAAAGCTTCTTCAGTCCCAGTGATGGGTGGGCAAGCAGCAAAAAGTCTCATCCCCGCGATGCCACATCTATTCAGGGCTCTGTTTATTCACATAAACGATGATTGCAGAGCTGCCATCTCCTTAGAGGATATATGCACATGGCTTGATGCACAGCCTGGTATACAGGAAGCCCTCTATAATGGCACTGTTAGCTTTCAGAGATGAGAAGTTTCCAAGGGGGTCCCCTCGAGTTCACTCACCTGGACAGGTATCTGCCGCCTGGATAGTCCAGGCCATGCCCAGGAAGGCGACCAGCAGGGCGGTAAGGCCCAGGGCCCCCAAGGCTCTGTCCAGTCTGTCCAGCTCCATCTCCTCCGGTCCTTGCTGTAAGAGGCCCCTCCTGTCTTATAGGACAGGGAAAGGCAGCCTCCCTCAGGCTCCAATTTCTCATCCCCCAAGTGACAGCCGCTTCCTCTCAGGCGGCTTTGTGGCGCCAGCAGGAGATGGGAGATCACCTCCAGGGCTTCGACCTCTGCCCAGCACCTTGGGGTTCCCATGGAGACTCACATTGCTGCCAGAGGAAGCTCTGCTCCCAGGGAAGAGGCTGCCTTGCTAGTGGCCTTGAGGGAAGCCTAGCCCTGTCCTTCCCGCCTTTGTCCAGCTATGACCAGATGACACCATGAGTTGAGGACGAGGAGTGAGGAAGAGTTTGCTGAGAACGTTTTGCTACAGAAAGATTTCTCCCCTGTATGAATACCCAGAGCCCTCATGCCCAGTTTAGGCCGTTGGTTATGGGTGTGGGTCTTCAGCAGTGACTCTTTACCACATGACGAACAGATCTGGGTGCTTTCAAAGGGGCTTGGAAACTGCCATATGGGGCCCAAGAAGGATCACTGGAGTCCAGGAGGTCAAGGATGTGGTGAGCCGTGATGGTGCCACTGCACTCCAGCCTGGACAACAGAGTGAAACCCTGACTCAAAAAGAAAGAGAGAGGGAAGGAGGGTGAAAATGGCCAACTGAGTCGCTGATTTTGATGCGTGATTTTATGTGGAAATCTTACTGAGTTTATATAAATTATTGGGGTAGTTTCTTGAAATTCCGAGTTTATCATGTTGTGAATTTACATGGTTATATTTCTAACAGTTCATTTTCAGAAGGATTTGCTGAAGTTAGAAAATCAGAGCACTACAGGATGAATTTGGGCACATCGGATGTATAAATGCAGTTAAAATGTTGAAAGGTGCTTAGGCAACTAAGTTAAGGGATGGACCAATAATTATTTTCAGGTTCCTTATAGATGGCAATGAAAAGCTGGAGATTTTAAGACAGATGAGTACAATCTGCAATCTACACTTTAAAAATAAAGACAGAAGTAGCATTTAAAGCACCATCTTTAATAAACAGAAATAAATGAAAGTGAGTTCATCTATAAAAAACAAGGACGATCTGAAGTCGTGGGTGAACCCAAAACTGCCCCCCAAAAGATAATGACAATGTGGCATATACACACTGTGGAATACCACTAAATCATCACAAAGAATGAAATAACATCCTTTGCACGGATGTTACGGGACCAGTCTGTGGCCTGTTAGTTAGTAACTGATCTGCACAGCAGGAGGGGAGCTGTGTTTACAGTCACTCCCCATCGCTCACATGATCGCCTGAGCCCTCCTGCCTCCTGTCAGGTCAGCAGCAGCATTAGGTTCTCATGGGAGCGTGAACCTTATTGTGAACTGCACATGGCGAGGCATCTAGGCTGTATGCTCCTTATGAGACTCGAAAGCCTGATGATCCGAGGTGGACCTGAGACGGTGATGCCAGCGCTAGGGAGCGGGTGCAAAGACAGATGAACATTAGCGGTAAGGTCTGACTGCACAGAGAACGTAATAAATCCATTGCTTGCAGGTGCCTATCAGAACCCTGTCCGTGAGAGTGAATTGATGTGCTTCAGTTGTACAGCGGTATCCGGTGGCAGGGCTTTAAGTCAGAATCTGACACTTATTTTAGTCCATCTGTGGCCCACCCATTATTTTATTTACCACTTCTGTCTGCGACTCTTTTTAAAAAAAATTTTTATTTTAAAAGATGTGAGGTGCAATTCAGGGTTAGGTATATAAATGTTCATTAAGCAGGTACCCTTGTTGATGAAGTGTGCCCCTCCCTCCCCTGGAAGTTTCCCACTACTGCCAATTCCGCCTCCGCCCTCCCCTGGCAGTTTCTCACCACTGCCAATCCCTTTCTTATAGTATTAGGATAGTTGTTCAAGGTCCGTTTATGAGTGAGAACATATGATACTCGGTTCTCTGTTTCTGTGATAGATCACTCAGTATTATGGCCTCTAAGTCCATCCAAGTTGCTTGTGGCTCTTTTTTTATGGTGAGTTGTCTAATTATTTCACTATATATTACAATGCAATAATAATAGAAATAAATAATGTAATTAAAAGAATTGTTATTAATAATTGTTATTAAAAGAAACACAATAAGAATTATGCACTTGGATCATCCCAAAACCTTCTCTCTCCCTCCCACCTGTGGAAAAATTGTCTGCCATGAAACCGGTCCCTGATGCCAAAAAGTTTGGGGACCACTGGTATAATGGACACTGGAGACTCAGAAGGGGGAGGGATGAAAAATTACCTATTGGGTACAAGGTGCACAGGTGGGGGTGGTGAGTACAGACTTCTTCGCCACTATATGAGGCAACTCTGTAATCAAAGACTATTTGTACCCCTAAACCTAATGAAATAGGGAAAATGAAAATAAACACAAACAAACACAGCCCTCACCTTCGCCAGTGTAAATGTCGGAAGGGGGCTGCTTTCCGGGGGGTCACATTACCCCCTTGCTATGGGCGATGAGGCCGAGACTCAGACGGGGCAGGAGGTTCTGCCAGGCATGTGGCCGGTTTGTGGCCGAGTCAGCGTCTGGCCCCAGCCCTTCGGGGCCCCACCCCACTGTCTCCTTGACCTTCCCCTTCTGGAAGTTTCCCTTCCACATAAGCCGCCCCATCCCTGATCCCAGGTCTCTCTGCCCACACGGTGACAACTATTCTGGGACAGGTGATGCCACATGGAGGGGACAAACCAGGCAGCCATAAGCTATCTGTGGGGTCTCTAGCATGAGCCAAAGGGTCTGACCACAGTTGTACCAAGACCAGGTGGGGAGAAAGGGGAAGACCCTACTGTGGGGCTCTTAGGGTGTCTGAGAAGTGATTTCGTGTTCCTGGAAGGTCAACTGTGATGATGTAAAGCGACTTCCTATAAATGATCTAAATCAGCCACTGAAATAACAACTTCCCACCGATTTGAATCACGCTAAGTATGTTCTCAGGTCACAGTGGAATTAATTAGAAATCAAGAAAAGAAAGATGTCTAGAAAAATCTATAGAGCCCCCACCCTGATATTTGAATACTAAATAACATTATTCTAATACAAGAGAGGTCAAAAGAGAAGCTAGAATAAGTTTAGAACTGAATGAAAACAAAAATGCAATATATTAGATAGTGTGGGGTTCTCTAAAGCAGAACTGAGGAAGGAAATTACAGCACTAGATGTTCATGTTGGAAAAGAAAAAAGGTCTCAGATCAGCGACCTCTGCTTGACTTGAAGAAACCAGAAACAGAAGAGTAAATTAAACCCAAAACAAGGAGAAGAGAATGAATAATAATGGCAAAGAGCAGAAAAACAATAAAGAAAATCAATATAACCAAAAGCTGATTCCCTAAGAAGGGTCAATAGAAAGTATAAACCTCTAGCTAAACTGAATAAAAAGAAGAAAAGAGAGAGAGAGAGCGAACACAAAACATAATTATCAGAAAGGGAGAGACAATGTCGCCGCATTTTCTACAGATATTAAAAGAAATATAAGAGGGTTATTAGGAACAATTTTATGCCAATGCATTCAACAACAGAAATGAGATGAACAATTTCCTTGAACTACCAAAGTCACCCAAGAAATACATTGTCTGAACAACCATATACACATAAAAAATGGGTTGAAATTGTAGTCAAGACTTTATTTTTATGATGAATAAACTCTATCAGGATTATGTGGTACTGATGTCAAGGAAGACCTACCGATCAACAGGACAGGATAGAGTCCACAAAGAATCACTGTGTCTGGAGAATACAGTCTGCAAAGACGTCTCTAGGACCATATGGCTTCACTGATGAATGCTACCAAACATTTAAGGAAGAAATAATAGACTTTCTTTCTTCCCGTGCTCTTCCTGACAATCAAAAAGTTACAGCTACTTCTCAACTCATTCTATGAGACCAGCATTCCCCGGACCAGAAAACAAGATGCAAATCATCTCCAGAAAGACATACCTATAAACCCATATCCCTCATGAACACAGATACAACAATTCTAAGCAAAATTTTAGTAATCAAACCCAACAAGGTATCAAAAGCATACTTTTTGGCAAGTGAAGTTTAGCCCAGGAGTGGAGGTTTTGTTTACCATTTGAAAATTAATGTAAGACAGGCACAGAGGCTCACACCTGTCATCCCAGCACTTTGGGAGGCCAAGACAAGAGAATTGCCTGAGTCCAGGGGTTCGAGACCAGCCTGGACAACTTGGTAAGACCTTGCCTCTGCAGTAAATAAAAATAAAAATAAAAATAAATTTGCCAGGCCTGGCGGCACACACCTGTAATTCCAACTGCTTGGAAGGCTGAGGCAGAAGGATTGCCTGAGCCCAGCAGGTCAAGGCTGTAGTGGCTGTGAGCGTGCCACTGTACTCCAGCCTGGGTGACAGAGTGAGATTCCAATTCAAAAAAAGAAAGAAAATATGAAATACTAATGGAGAAATCCAATCAAGTCTGTGTGAGACCTCAGGGCCACTGAGCTGGTATGTTATGGAACCGCTGGTCTCATAGGTGGCTTGTCTGATTTGAGTTACGACTCCAGTCCTTTCAACACCTGCACACAGGCGATAGGAGGGCAGAGCTGGGGAGGCAGCCGACCATCTCTGTCTCTAATGGGACACAAACCCAAGGTGAGCATTTGCTTCAGAATAAAACTCTTCTCTAAGAGATGGGGACAGAGCTTTGAAGGCCAGGCCCATACAGCTGTTCCCTCCACAGGGCCTGTGTGCCGTGGCCCCCGGGAACAATTTAATGCCAACTGTCCCTGCCCCCACATGAAGCTGCTGCAGTCCAAGCCACAGTCCCGTCTTTTGGCGACACTGCATGACCATGTGCCTGGTCAGTGTCTCAGGGGAGCCACCCTGCCGTGAGACTCCTGATCTGAACACCCCTGCAAACATCCCGCTGCTCTCCCGTCTCTCCTGAGATCATCCCAGCCACCAGAATCGTTTCTAAATGTCTGTGGGCTTGAAGCCCATTATCTGCCAACGAGCTCCTCAAGAGCTGGGTCCCGCAAGCCCTTCCAGCCTGCCATGGCCTTGGGGAGGCATCCTGGCAGGCGGACGGGCCCTCCCATGGCGCAAGGCTAGCTGGGCAGTAGGTGTCCTGCAAGGGGAAGTGAGGCTCATCCAGCGGAAAGTGCAAAGGGACTGCGGAGGACAGTGGGCTCTGAGGCCATCTCTGCCTCAGGTGGTGGCACCAAGCCAAGGAGGAAGTGGCCGCCCCTGCGGGGGTGGGGAACAGGGCCAGGGGTGACCGTGGCCCTATAAGAGCCATAGCGCTCCTTCCGCGGAGAAGGAGCAGAACAGAGCTGTGTGGCCATGGGGCCGTTTCTTCTAGTCATCTCCTTCCTGTGTACCATGGCCTTGGGTGAGGACACCTGCCCAGGTGAGTCAGACCCCCGGCAAGTAGGACTATGGAGCGAGCATGCCCCTGGAAGCCGATGCCCACAGACTGCATACCTGGCCCCAGGCTAAGCCCTATGTTCGTGAATGTTCTTCCCTTATTCTCTGAATAGCACGTTTTAACCTCCTCCTCCTCTTTCTTCTCCTTCTTCTTTTTTCTGAGTTGGGATCTCATTCTGTTGCCCCGGCTGAAGTGCAGTGGCACAAACAGAGTTCACCAGAGCCCTGACCTCTTGGGCTTAGGTGATCCTTCCACCTCAGCCTCCTGAATAGCTGGGACTACAGGCATACGCCACCACGCCCGGCTAATTTTATGTTTTGTTTTTGTAGAGACGAGGTCTCACTATGTTGCCCAGGCTGATCTCAAACTCATGAGCTCAATCAATCCTCCCACCTCAGCCTCCCAAAGTGCTGGGATTATAGGTGCGAGTCACTGCTCCTGGCCTAAAATCACTAAATATTCTTTATTAATGAGCAAAAATTAAGCAAATCAATAAAAAAGATGAAGTCTACACTTGCCTTGACCAGTGAGCTAGGAGTGAAGACAGAAAAAAGAATGACACCATATAGTAGCAGCTGTCCTTGTCTGCCAGCGAGAGCACAGCGTAATTCCGTATTTCCTAACCTACCATGCAAGAGATGTATGAATTTGACAATCAAGAAAATTACGACGTTTTTTTCAAAGAAGGAAACAGTCTACTTGGTTCCAGTTCGGCCGTCCTTTGCTGTGGAGCCAACACGTCCCTCTATCCAGGGGACCAAGAAATCCCCTCCCAGGCCAGGACTTCTGGATCACCCCTGAGGCCTGGGAGTGAAGATGCCAAGCCCACCCCAATCCCCAAAGTGTCCTAAAATATTTAACATCATGACTTACTCTTACTGAGAGTAGCCACTGCTTGTGAAGCTCTAAGTGTCACGAAGTACACTAAGATTTTTTAAGTTTGCCTTCTCTGATACAAACCTTGCCACAACCCTGTCAGTATTATCCCTGCCTGGCAGCCCTGAGGACAGAGGCTCAGAGGGGTTCAGTGGCTTGCCCCAGAGCACACAGCTCTGAGGAGGGGGACTCCCCCTCCGACAGGGAGGTCTCCAAGGCCAGGGCTCTGCCCCATCACCCTATCACCCCCATGAGTGCTCCAGGGGTGACAATCCCCACCAGAGAGGAAAAACTCACTTCCAGTGACCCTCAGACCAGGCACTGACTGCCACTTGTGTTTCCTGCAGAGGTGAAGGTGGTGGGCCTGGAGGGCTCTGACAAGCTCACCATTCTCCGAGGCTGCCCAGGGCTGCCTGGGGCCCCAGGGCCCAAGGGAGACCCAGGAATCAATGGAGAGAGAGGTATGTGTGGTTTGGGATAGGGTAGTCGGAGAAGGGGATGGGGGGGTCACCAGCTCTTGCCCTTCTCAAATGAGGTGGGAGTTAGGCACCCCCCACTGCATTTCCCAGATCAAGATCTTAGTCTGGCCCCTTGCCCAGAGCCAGTGTCAGGACCAACATCCCCGGCCCACCGGGGTTCTGAAAATGGAGGGAGCTTCTCTGTGAAGTATTTGACGGGCTTTCCATGGGTGTTTTGGTGGAAACTCTGGTTTCTGGTCTGACCCACCAGTGTGGCCCCTGTAAGCTCCAGCTCCCTGTTCGCCTCTGGACTGGGGTGTCCTGGGGAACACCCCCAATGGGGACCTGCAGCTGAGGAGTGTGAGGAAGCCCCCAGGAAGGGGCGGGGAGCTTCCTTCTCAGCTCTTTTAGGAGGCCCCATTCAGGCGAGTTTTTGTGGGTGTTCCCTAGCACTTGACCCCCACTTGATGTGGCCATCGGCAAGGTGTCTGATTCCAGGAGGCTCCACCTTCTCACCTGAAAACTGGGGCCACAGCTCTCCTCTAGACTATGTCAGATGGGGAAACTGAGGCTCAAAGAGCCCAGCGGTTTCCCAGGTTCTCACCCGGGGAAGGGGAAGGGCTGGGACTCCATGCAGGGCTCTCTGGGAAGGCTCTGCGTCCCCAGGTCCTGTTCCCTGAGTGGACAGCAGAGCCTTGGGATGCTGGTCTAGAGCCTTCTGGTGCACGAGAGTCACCCCTGGGCAGAGAGACATGCTCATGAACCTGAGCAGAAAGACAGCTCTGACTGGAAATCAGAACCGTGTCCAGAGTGGGTCCTTCATGGCGGGGCCAGGCAGGGGTGCTCAAGGGTGTGTGTTTCAATTTGCAGGAGAACCAGGTGTCCCTGGAGCCCCTGGGAAGGATGGACCACCGGGACCCAAAGGTAAGAGTGAACAGATGCTGAGAGAACCTTCCAGACCTGGACCAAGAGAAATAGCAGAACTCATAAGGCTGCCATGTTGTCACTGCTGGATCCAGCTGGGCCCAGAAAAAGGGGTATCAGTGTGCGGGAAGGGATCTCAGTGTGGGGGAGGGGATCTCAGTGTGGGGGAGGGGATCTCAGTGTGGGGGAGGGGATCTCAGTGTAGGGGAGGGATCTCTGTGTAGGAGGGCATCACTGCGTGTGAGAAGATCTTAATGAGTGCGGGGAGGAGATCTCCATGTGGGGGAGGGGACCCTACCGAGTATGGGGAGGGGATCTCACTATGTCACGGAGTGTGCTAAGGGATCTCACTGATGGTGGGGAGGGGATCTCACTGAATACGGGGGAGGATCTCCCTGAGTGTCGGAGGGGCTCTCACTCAATCTGGGAGGAACCTCACGGAATATGGGGAGAATCTCACTGAGTGGCGGAGGGAATCTCAGTGAGGAAGCATCCATCCTGTGTGTGGATCTGAGACCGTGTCCTCTTCCTCTAAGTTTCATGTGGTCGTAGGAGGGCGTGTGTGTTGCGGGGGACGTCTGCTCCCTTCTCCGATCCCCCCGCACCCCGACCCTGGCCTCTGTCCTCTGAACAGAGAGCCCTGTCTGTCCCCTCCTGGCTTCTTTCCAGAGGCTGTCTCTTGTGTCACAGCCAGGGATGTGAGAAGAGTGAGAGAAACGCGAAGTAGATCATGGATGCTCTCTCTTTCCCTCTTTCCCCGAAACCACCGGTCTACAGCGAACAAGCCCTACCTTGCACTCCCCTACCAGCTTGGGCTCAGTCACAGGTTGTGTCTGGATGTAAAAATGCAGGGAGGTGCCCAGACCCCTGACCACATCCCCTCCATGTCACCAAGCCCACCACGATGGGCTTTTGCAGCCCGGGGACTCAGAAGGACCCTGAGGGCCTGGGGTCCTCTCTTTGGTCCATGGAGGCCTCGGTAGAGTTTCTGGGAGGGGGTCCTCTGCTTTGTCAGGGACCTGAAAAGGGGCCTATGTGGAGGAAGAACCCGCGTGGGCCTCCCTTGGAGGGAAGGAAACATTTGGCCAGTGGAGGCAGGGTCGGGGGGGGGCTCGCTGAGGAGACCCCCACTTGTCCTGCAGGGAGGTCCAGCTCGTTGTCTCCATTTCTGTCTGCTGTCCGTGGGTGAGCTGGGGCTGAAGGGCCCCCGATTTCCTGACCTGTGACGTGTGTGTCCTCTCTTGCCCATAAACAGGAGAACCTGAGGAGGCTCGGTCCTGTCTGACAGGTGACTGACCACACCCTGCGTTCCACCATAGCCTGCTTTTTGCCGCCTCTTCCGGTGGCCTTTGGCGGAAAGTCCAGCACGAGACGCTGCAAATTCCAGAATGGTGTAACACACATAAACCAAAGAAAAGACTCTCTGCCCATTTTGTCCCCTGGTTATTCAAGACAGTGACAAATATGGCCCAGGAAGCATAAGCACAGACCATGGCAATTTTCTCATAGTTTTTAAATGACCCAAAAGGCCAGGAGCCCGGGCAACCAAGGTGGGGGGATGGGAGGTGTGTCGGAGGACTGGGCTTAGCCATCAGAGCTGGGTGCCCTGGGGGCCGCATCTCTGTCTAGGCCTTGGAGCCCTCCTCTGCCGTGCAGATGCCTACTGTCCCCCACTCCTTCCTGGTCTCCCTCCTGGGCCTCCCCTCCCCTGCCCCTGCCGCTGCCCAGGGTCTCCTGTCCTGCATCTGTTCTCCGGTCCCCACCCTCACCCCAGGCCCACGGACCTGTAAGGACCTTCTCGATCGGGGGCACTCCCTGAGCCACTGGTATACCATCTACCTGCCTGACTGCCGACCCCTGAGGGTGCTCTGTGACATGGACACGGACGGAGGGGGCTGGACCGTGAGTGGAGCTGAGGGTCCCCAGGCAGAGGTGGCCACCCTGGGGTCCTGGAAGCCCAGCTTCCGCTTGAGGGGGAAACACTGTGGGACTGTCTATTTCTCTCTGCCTCTAGGGTGACCCTTCTGTCTCCTGAAGGCAGGGGCAGTGAGAAATGACAGGAAGGGGCCAGGTGTGGTGGCTCACCCCTATAATCCCGGCACTTTGGGAGGCTGAGGTGAGGGGATTGCCTGAGTCCACTGGATCGAGATCAGCCTGGGCAACTTGGCAAGCCCTCATCTCTACAATAAATCAAAAAATTAGTTGGGCGTGGTGGTGTGCACCTGTAATTCCAGCTACTTGGAAGGCTGAGGCAGACGGATAGCCCAAGCCCAGCAGGTCGAGGCTGCAGTGGCCATGAGTGTGCCACCACACTCCAACCTGGGAGATGGACTGAGACTCTGACTCAAAAAAAAAAAAAATGAAAGAAAGAAATGACAGGGGGGTGACCCATGGGGAGAGGCTGGGAGGGGGTCTGCTGCTCTCTTGCTGTGTGGCTTGGGACTGGCCGCCTGCCCTCTCTGAGTTTCCATTTCCTCCTCCATCACGTGGGCTCTGGGATAGAACCAGGCAGGCGGCTTGTGGCACCGGCCACGATGCTCTGTGAACTCACAGTTCCTGCTCCTGTGGGAGGCTAGGGTCCTCTGTGCCAGGGAACAGCAGCCAGACCCTCTGCCTCTGCCCCTGGCCCCTCCCACAGGTGTTCCAGCGACGGGCCGATGGCTCCGTGGACTTCTACCGCGACTGGGCCGCGTACAAGCAGGGCTTCGGCAGCCAGCTGGGCGAGTTCTGGCTGGGGAACGACCACATCCACGCCCTGACCTTCGAAGGTAGGGCCGGCACCAGGGATAAGGTGGGCCAGGATAGAGTCACCCTGCCCTCGACCTGGGCGGTCAGGAACACAAGACCGGTCCTCTCGGTCCAGGGGTGAGACTCTGACACCTAGGGTCACACGGGTCATCCCGGATGTGTGTTCCCTGCTGCAGGCTCTCAGAGCACCAGGACCCCGGGTTGTCAGGGCTCCAGGGGAAGACCCTTCCGGTCTTGGTGCTGTTGGCATCTCAGAACCTGAGACAGGAGGGTGCAGGGTCTGGAGGGACCGGGCCCACCCAGCCCTCACTTCCCCTCCGTCTCCTCCCCGAAGCCGCCATCTCAGGGGAAGAGGGAGCCTCGCTCTCCCTGGTCCTCAGGCTCCTCCCACAGACACAACCCATCTCTATCCCACCTCCCCTGCCCAGAGTGTTGACTGTCCTTGATCCTGGAGAAAGGGGCATGTGTCCATCCCTCCCCGAGAGAGCCTGTTCCTGTCTCCCGAGACATTTCCTTGGGCTTGAGGGGACTTTTCCAGGGAAAAGAAGGATTGAAGCTGCTTCCTACTGGTTGTTGGTGACTTCACAACCCATTCCAGGGACAAATGCTTTTTACAAAAGTTTTGCAATAAAGCAATGTTTCGTCCCATCCAATCATCACGAGCAGGGAAGTTTTAGGAGCAGAAGACAGACCCGAGGGGGCCAGGGCTCCATATCCCGTCCTGTGACAAAGGACCTTCCAAATGCCCTGGAGGAAACATCCCCTCCATGTTGCAATCAGATGTCCCATAAAAACGAACCCAAAGTCCCACCGCCTGGGCCTGAAGCCAGAAGGGCCCTTCTGCCAGGACCTCAAAGCTTCTCTCCCACAGGGACCAACGAGCTCCGTGTGGACCTGGTGGACTTTGAGGGTAACTACCAGTTTGCCAAGTACGCGTCCTTCAAGGTGGAGGGCGAGACGGAGAAGTACAAGCTGGTCCTGGGAGCCTTCGTGGAGGGCACTGCAGGTGGGTGTCCCCTGGGGCTGTGTGGGCAGGGCTTCCGAGCAGGACTTGGGAAGGGGAGAGCCCACTTAGAGGCTTGGCCCTACCGGTTCTGTGTGACCTTAAGTGATGATGTAACCTCTCTAAAGCTGCTTCTTAATTCATAAATTAAGATAATATCACCTACAGTTAATTACACCTATGAGGATTAAGAGGTACATGAAGTAAAAAGTCCAATAAATGGTGGCTGTTATTAGTTGTCATCATTATTGATGAAAATGGGAAAGATTAGATAGTAAAATACCTTTCTCCCTCCCTCCCTTCCTTTCTCTCTCTCTCTCTCTCTCTCTCTCGGTCATACTCTGCTGCCCAGGCTAGAGTCCAGTGTAGGCACAATCACGGCTCCCCACAGCCTCAAACTCCTGGGCTCAAGCGATCCTTCTGCATCAGCCTCCCAAATAGCTGGGACTACAGGCACGTGCAACCACGTCTAGCTAATTTTTTTCTTTGTGTAGAGACGAGGTCTCACTATGTTGCCCAGGCTGATCTCGAACTCCTGGGCTCAAGCGGTGCTCCTGCCTCAGCCTCCCAAAGTGCTGGGATTGCAGCAGTGAGCCACCATGCCCAACTAATTAAGTGCATTTCTACAGAGACTGAATTTCCACTCTTTGCTGCCTGGAGTTTTTCCCTGGAGGGTGACCTTCCCTCTAAACAAGAGCACGTCTGTGAGTTGGCTGGGGTAGTCCCGGCAAGGGGATGCCAACACTGCTGTCCCAGCAGAACACACGTCCACTGAACAGTGGAGCTGTGCAGTGCACCCTGTGGACTGCTGGACGTGGCAGCTCTGAACCGAACGCAGGATTCAGGCTCCCTGGCACTGTGTGTAAAACGCTCCACTTCCTCTTCTGAACAGGTGATTCTCTGACATCCCACAACAACTACCCTTTCTCCACCAAAGACCAAGACAATGATGGCTATGATCAAAGTTGTGCTCAGGTGTACCAGGGAGCCTGGTGGTATGCCTCTTGTCACCAGTCAAACCTGAATGCTCGCTACCTCGGGGGGTCCCACAGCAGCTTTGCAAATGGCATCAACTGGAATTCAGGGAAAGGCTACTCCTACAGCTACAAGGTGTCTGAGATGAAGTTGCGGCCCACCTAGCTCGGGGATCCCATCGAGAGGTCTTCTTACGCACAATGGCGGAAGGGGAGCATATCCTTGAGCCCTCACAAGGGGGAAACATGGGCCCCTGGTCGCTGTCCCTGTGGGCATAGGGGAGCTTCAACCCACACTGTGCCTGGCATCGCCATCAAAACCCTCCTATCCTCAAGGCTAAGAGTAACCACTGTGCCCAACCCTGCCCCGGCATGCTATCAATAAAGGCATCTGCTTGCCTCCTTGGCAAACATGGGATTCTGTTGTCATTTGCCCAGCTCTGGTCTCCGGTCACGACCCCACAGCTGTTCACCTGTCACTACTTCCCTGTGGCCCGGCCTTGCAGGTAGATCAGGTCCCCTTTGGATTGAGGAAGTTTCATTTTTGTTTTTTGAGTTGGAGTCTTACTCTGTTGCCCAGGCTGGAGTGCAGTGATGTGATCATGGCTCACCGTAGCCTCAACCACTTGGGCTCAGGTGATCCTCCCACCTCAGCTTCCCGAGTAGCTGGGGCTACAGGCATGTGCCACCATGCCCAGCCAATTTTTGTAGAGACGAGGTCTTGCTTTACTGCCCAGGGTGGTCTTGAACCCCTGAGCTCAAGCAATCCTCCTGCCTCGGCCTCCCAGAGTGCTGGGATAACACCAAGCCTTATTTGTCAACTTTTAGCATTAGAATTCATGACAGCTACCAGCTCAGCCCACTTTGGGCTCTGAGGGGTGCCTAGGAATTCTGGGTGGTGGGGGCAAACATGGTGTTATCTCTGCAAAGCAGCAGTGGTGTGGGCCCTGAGTATGACCGATCATGGAACCCTATGGCATGGGGTGCGAGACGAAGCATGGCAGGTTCTAGCTGCCCCCAGGGGGTCTGGTTCAGGAGGGCTAGCATTGAACATAGAATGTGAAATTTTAGGAGGCTCCCAGGTAGCAGCCAGGTTAGAGAACCACTGGTGAGGTGATTTCAGCCGTCGTGGCCAGGAGACTCTGATAGCAGCCAGGTAGAGAACCACTGGGTAGCAGCCAGGTAGAGAACCACTGGTGAGGTGATTTCAGCCGTCGTGGCCAGGAGAACCCTGGAACACCAGAGCACTTGAAGCCAGCACCGACATCATCCCAGCATGAACCAGTATTTGCCCCAGGAGGTGAGCTCCCTGCTCCTGGTTGAAGCTCTTAGGGTGATGGCCATGGGCAGCTCTTTGGTAGGTGAACGCAGTAACCCCAAATCTGAGAGGGCTTGTGCGTAAGGTTCTTTACCTCCTCCAAAGACGTCATCCAGAGATCCGACAGGGAGGGACATGGGATATTAGAACTTATAGGTGGCATAGATGGCAGCTGGTCGGTAAAGAAACAATCTGCATGCACCTCAGGGCTGTACAGCAAGTGGATCATGAAGTCAAGTAAGTTAATTATTCAAGTTGCTAGACAGGATTAAGGGCACCACCTACATTGCTCTTAGCTCTGCTCGGCCACTTGCACCCTGTGGCTCTTACTGGGAATATGCATACCCTACAGAGACCAGCCTTGGCCAGAGGGGAAGAAAGAAGCCAGGTGTGTGGGGAATCAGTCCAGACAATACCTCACAGTGGGGGAAGAACCAGAGACCTGCTCCCATGGAGGTACACATTCAGGGGGCCCCAGAGGCCTTCGTGGGAGTTTGGAGGTGGCATCTGGCCAGGAACTGGACGGCACCCAGGCTGAGCATGCAGGTAAGCCTCAGCCAAGCTCCGGGCGTCAGCAAGTTGCTCCCACCCGACGGCCCAGAACAGTCTGTGAAAACTTCCTCTTCTGTCTCCAGCCCCAAAGCAGATGCCTCTGGCCCTCCTGGGCAGTCAAGTAACATGGATGCTTTTACTAGGAAAGTCCAGGCAGCAGCAAAGCTCAGAAAGGGAGCACCCTTGACATACAAGGGGGATGCAAAAGTCCCAGAATTTATTTATTAAAAACTGTGTATGTATTCTCACATGTTTAAACTTCAGTTATCTTCAAAGTACTCTCTGTTTGATGCAACACATCTATTGAGACGATCTTCCCACTGCTCAAAACAGTTTTTGAACTCATCCATTTTGACGCCTTTTACTGCTTCTGCCATTCTTTTGTTTCACCTCTTCCATATCGGCAAAAGGTTTCTTTTTGAGGACATTTTTCATCCCAGGAAACAACCACAAAAAATGTCGCTCAGGGTGAGATCTGGTGAACAGGGAGGGTGAGGCACAGAGGTCATGCCGTGTTTCGAACAAAAACTGCTGAAAACTCAGCGCAGTGTGGGCAGGAGCACTTGCACATCACCCATCATGAAATGGGCACACAGGTTGAAAGAATCTCCAGAAAAAATTCACTGAAGCCAAACTCAGTCACTCAGAACAGAGCTGGCTGGTCCACTGATGTCGACGGGTTTCTAGAACACTCACCTAGTGGGGAAGCCTGTACTACAAGGGACCTGCCCTCCAAAAGAGAATTACATAATTATGGGTTTCTTAGCCCCCCGCCCCCACCTTTGTATGTAACTCCACCTTAGAAAAAGACTCCGTCTTGTATTTCAAAAGGTAGGATGCTAACAGGGACCAGATGTTTAATGAGAATTAATTAATTGACAGAGACTGCAACTGACCAGATAAAGATGGATGACATACCTGTCTGTGATCGGTCACACCAGAGGACTCCGGGGCTATAAAAAGAGCAGAACTCCACCAATTCAAGATGGGACAACAGTCATGACAGACACTGTCTTGCTGTCCCTCATGATAACCACATAGCACCTGCCCTTGAAGGCTCTTCCCTCGTCAAGGGCTCTTCCTTGCAAGATGTTGATGACCATCCATTAGACCAAGGTGCCCTCCTTGTCCATGTGGCACTCCTTGGACTGTTTTGTTAACCTCTTTCCTTCCCTCTTTCCTTTGGATGTTAAATGTGACTCTGTTTGCTGTGCGATGCTTCCTCTATAACATTTACACATTGGTTAAGTACAGTAGTATGTATGATTTGCATTTTTTTTTTTGAACCAGGGTCTCACTCTGTTCCAGGCTAAAGTGCAGTGACACAATCACAGCTCACTGCAGCCTCGACCTCCTGGGCTGAGGCGATCCTCCTGCCTCAAACTTCCAAGTAGCTGGTGCTACAGGTGGGGATCACCACACCTGAAAATTTTTATTTTTATTTTTACTTTTGTACAGATGAGGTCTTGCTGTGTAGTCCAGGCTGGTCTTGAATTCCTAGGCTCAAGTAATTCTGCTGCCTCGACTTCCTAAAGTGCTTGGATGACAGGTGTGTCACCATGCCTGGCTGGTTTGCAACAGTGACTGACGGGTGGCTGGGCTTGAGCCCGTGCGCCCACAGCTCTGACCACCCAGGGACCGGGAAGTAGCAAGGAGAGTCACCTCCTTGGGAACTCCATGGAGCTCATGGCTTTAGGACCGAAATAGTGTCAATAACAGTATGACCTTGTGGAAAGACACCAGTGTGCGTGGACCTGCTCATCTCTGATTCCTCCTTCCTCCCCACACACAGATGAGGCTTTATCACTTTCACCCACCAAGACACCTTCAGGACAGTGGCAAGGCCTCTGGCCGCATGACAAGGAGGCGCCCTCACATTCACAGGTCTCATTTGTGGATGGACGAATCAGAGCTCTGAATGTAACGGCAATGCCCCAAGGCCTCATGGGACATGGATGGCATCTGAGGCTGGGTCACCGAGACTGTGCTCACTCGGTCCTCACCTTGTCGCAGCTGTCTCTGCATGTGCATGTGCGTGTGCTCCTGTGATCCTACCTGTGGCCTGCGTGTCCTCCGTGTCCCGCCTCTCACTTCCTACCTTCTCCTCTCAGCAAATCCTGTCACTTTCACCCACGGAGCATCCAGAACTTGGCCCATTCTCACCAGTCCCTGCAGCCATCAGCCTGCCGGCCTGCTGGCCGCCCGCCTTGGCTCTTTACCTCCTTGACGCTGTTCCATGCAGATCCCGGAGCGAGCCTGACAAGATGCAGGGCGGGTCACAGCATGCCTCAAGCACTCGCCACTATCTCCTCGACTGGCCGGAGTGAAGGCCAGAGGCTCGATGCCCTGCCCGGCCCTGCTCTGACATTCCCTTCCTCAGCTCTTCCCAGGCTGGGCAGCTGCCTCGCTTCTTCCAGCTGGTGCCTGGTCTTGCCTCAGGGTCTTCCCCCACCCCCACCCCCGCTGTTCCCTCACCTGGAATGCCCCTCCTGCAGGTGGCAACAGAGACCTTGCCCCTCCTTCTTGCAGGTCTGGGGGTGGCAGAAAGGAGAAGTAGGGGGAGCCTTCCAGGGGACCCTGGATTTCAACCACCTTCCCACGAACATAAACACTCGGACACACACACCATGTACAAACACATCATATATTACACACATACCCCATGCACACCATGAACACACATCACATACTACACACACGCACCACACGTTTTCTCTCATTTGCTCTCCTCAGCTCCCGTCCCTCTGTGCACACCTCACCCTTGCCCTGTGGGTCTTGGTCTCCTTGTGTCCCCTGGGGCATGCACTCTCTGTAGGCGGCTTCTCCCTCTGCTGCCCCCGCCGGGCACTGAGCAGATGGTCCATGAGTTGCCAGTAATTGAATAGATGAATGAATGACCAAATGGATGAACGAATGAACGGATGGATGGATGGATGGATGAATGGACTGATTTATGAATGAATGAACAGATGGATGGGTGGGTGGGTGGGTGGATAATCAATGGGTGAATGAATGAATGGGTGGATGGCTCATGAATGCATGGATGAACACATGTGGCAGCAGAACTGCTTGAGCTGAGATGGAAGAGCTTGGGGCACAGAAGACAGGCTGGGGCACACTGCCCCCTTCTGTGATTCCTCCCCTGGAGAAGCTTCCTTCCCAGAGCTGATATCCCCACCTTTAGGAGAAGGTGTGGGGTTTCTCCCAAGGACGAGTGACCGTCTCTCCTGGCCACGGCCACTGCTCAGTCGCTGGCCTCTCTGTGACTGAGAAATCAGTTGAATCTCAGCGGTCCT